CCGAAATAAAACTGTGGGTAAAATCTTCGCAGACATGTTTTTTTTTATTTTATTCAAATATTCATTTGAGCGCATATCCCAAATTGCTGGTCGTGTGAGAATTTCGGTAATTAATATATTGATGTCTATAGCTTCCATAATATATACCATATTTGGCAAACACCAAATGTAATCCAATAAAACCGTTGCAAAACAGTCACACGTCTGTGTTGAAGCACGAGATATCTATTACTGATGTGCCGCCAGAAGTCATAAAATTTCCAACGGCACATGGTACTCAGCATAGTCCACGCGGCGGCCGACGCGGCGAGCTGACGAACGACGGCTCGTCTGTGTTGCACAACATAAGTACCACAGACGAGAGACCGCATTCTCTTTTGATTAAGGGCACTAGTGTATGCGCTACATGTATGTACTCATCTATCCAGAAGTATTCATTCAATCCGACGATATGTTTAAATGAAAACGTATACCTTTCTATCGTCTAGTGAGAACATTAGTGGCGAAACTCCAAAATTCTCGGTTTTGACTTATCTATTTAAAAGAATTCCATATGTAGCATGCAACTGGCTGCATTACTGGTAAAACTCTAGTTCTACTACAAATTGCTCGGTGGCGGAAATCGTCTGTAATGCAGGTTGTTTTTATGTTTCCATTCTAAAGCATTACTGACGAATATTGCAGTGTGTCTCTGACAGTGAATCTGATAACGTGATGTAAAATTCAGCATTAGTGACGAAAACAAGTACCGACATTATTTTGGTAAGTTGAATAACTTTTTTCATAAAATTACCGATGTAAATCTAGTTATGTCAGAAATGACTTAAAAACCAAATGCAAACGTATCTAGATTTGTTTTTTAGTGCATGGTCAATTTCATTAAAAGATAGCTTACCAATTCAGTTAGTAGGTACCTACATTATAATATTTCATGTAATTTAAAAATAAGAAAATTAATGTTCCAGAAAACATTAAAGATGGTATTAGGGAGCACCTACGGAAGATAACAGCTCTAGAAAGCCATTATACAAGAAGTAATACTGCAAGATTGTATATCCATGGAAGAACTTTGCTTCAGCTGTATAATTTAATGACTATAAGGAATTGTGCATTGCAAATGACAAATGTGTAGACACATTTTTAACTACGAATTTAATATGTGTTTTCACGTACCTCAGAAAGATCAATGTCTGACGTGCACAACTTATATAAATATTGGTCCTAATGACAAAGATCAACTGAAAGACACGTAAGAATTGCATATTAAAGGGAAACAATTAATTCGGACTGAAAAAAGCAACGATTAAGCCAAAATCGGTGAGAATTATGTAGTTGCATGTTTTGATTTGCAAGCAACATTGCCAGTCCCCAGTGGAGACGTTTCTAGTTTTTACTATAAATCCAAATTAAACTGTTATAATTTTACAGTTTGTGAACGGCAAATAAAAAGAGATTGGTAATGTCAAGTGCTATTTTTTGTATGAAGGCGAAGGGAAGCGTGATTCAATTAAAATCGGAACTTGTTTACTAAAATTTTTGGAAAACAGCTGCAATTCTGACGAGTTGAGTGAGATGATCTTTACTCTGACAATTGCGGTGGGCAAGAAAAGAACAAATTTATTAGTACAATATTGTTGTATGCTGTCACTACTTTCAAGATAAAGAGCATCATACATAAATTTTTGGTTGTGGGTCACGGACAAAACGAAGGAGACTGCACACACTCAGTGATTGAGAAAAGCATAAAAAAATCATTGAAAGGTGGACCGATCTCTTTACCAGCACACTATGCAGCGATAATTTCGAGTGCCAGAAAAAGCAGTAGTCCTTTTAGAGTGAATGAATTAGATCATACTGAATTTGTTGACCAATTAACAAAGAATGTGCTAACAACTTTCAATAAAAACAACGATGGTGAAAGCTTTACTTTGAATTCTATATCGACAGTGCTGGTCAAAAAAGAGCATCCCAAGACGTTTTTTTTATAAAAGTTTGTACAGCCAAGCTACATTTAAATCAGTTAGCATTCGCACAGCTACGTCACACTACGGGACCAGCAGCATCATCATCATCTAGAGCAGATCATGAATTCACACCTGCATATCAACAGCCGTTGCCAGTTTCTACGAGGAAGTTCGAGGATCTACAATCCCTTCTTTTAAATAAATCTATTCCTTCTGTCCATTCTAGTTTCTATCAACAATTGCGAAAAGAAAATTAGTTGTATTTTCTAATGGTTTTTTAATTATTGCAGATATTTTCGGGATTAACTTTGAGTTTTATGTATTAAAATTTCCAATTATTATGATTATTTACATGCCGTGTGACTTTTATATTTTTTCATTAAAAAATTAAATGTTTGAATTTGTGTGTCATTATTTTAATAACAAATCTTCAAAATAATTTACTTTTTCATGCATTACTGACGAAACTAAAATTTATAATCGGTAATTTTGTTTATTTGAACAGAAAATTATGACGTTGTACCGTAAACCTAATTTATCTCATAAAAGAGAAATCAGTACGATATTTTAAACCATAAAGCCGTTAAAAAATTTAAAGGATTTTATAAAAACTTCATCTGCGATTATCTCAGATCTATGTTTTTCGATTTACGTCACTAATGTTCTCACTAGACCGATTCACTGTAAATGTTCTAATTAGGCTTAGTGGACGATACACAATGCAATAACGTCACATTTCATCAATTATGTAATTAGATTGGTTTTGATTAAGGGCACTAGTGTATGCGCTACGTGTATGTGCTCATCTATCCAGACGTATTCATTCAATCCGACGATATGTTTAAATGAAAACACACAACACCTTTCTATTATCCAATTAGTGCATTATAATAAGACTAACACCCTTACAAACGTAACCATCATTCCGCTTTACTATTAATTAGCTTAACGACCAAGAGACTATAATCTGTTGTTTGAACATGTTATAAAATATTAATAACCAACAGATGCGTAGGGCCAACTGCGGTATAATTACAATTTGTACTATGTAAATTGCATGAAGGCATATTCTCGATATACATTTAAGTAAAATTTCAGTAAGTACGCATAAAATGATATACACTTTGTGATATCAATACATATAGAAACAAATATATTATTTGTTTGTTTATTTAACATATTTTACAATGGAAATGTTCGTGTAAATTGATCATTTTCTTAAAATTCGGTAAAAGTGTTAATTGGTAAAAAGAGAAATAACTAAAAGTGAACCGTTTTAAAATCACAGGTCATTATCAATATCTTGAAATTCCAAAGAATATTCTGTCTTAAAGGTGTATTTTGAAATATTATATTGCACATATTTATTATTTGTTATTTATTATTAATTTACATATACCTATACAAAGCATTTAAGCCTGCATTTAACATATTTCTCTTCTTTAGTATCCGTCTAGATGTTCTAAAATATGCGGTTCTTTATATCCAAGCTTTAAAATAAGTAATCTAAGCTGTTTTTTGTAATCTCCCTTGTAACTGTTTACTTTGTAATATTTTTTATATCATATTAGTTCATTATCGTGTTTTTATCGCTTTAGTTCCCAATAATGTAATAGTATACTTTATGCCCGTGCGGGTATAAAGTGTGCTTTATTTCCCGCACAGGCATAAGGACAAAACAAATTTAATAACGTTTATCATTAAAGTTACAAAATATTTAAAGCTACATAATATGTAAACATAACATAACATAACACAATTTAGTAAAATTCACATAAAACTGGCAATTCTTGGAAGATCCGGTGATAACGATAACCTAACGACGGTATTGCTCTACTATGAAAATTTTCTGAATTTTTAAAAATATTTAGATTGTAAATACGATAACAAACGAGTATGACATAAAAGTTTGTATGCACCGTGGGCATTAATAGATGTATAAACTCGGGCGACTTACAAACAGTTGGGCTTAATGCCTTTTGGTACATAAATAACTATTATGTGATTTTATGTAGATTTAATAATTTTGTTATAACGTTGGTAATTTTTGGTAAATAAGTTTTGGTTATATTTTCAAATAATGCCCAAAGGGTTTAATGTCAAAGATGTTTTACTCCAACAAGGCATTATCAAAATTTATTTAATTAACAACGAAGACTGATCTTATTTTCTAATATGTAATACTAATATTTTATTGTTCATTTTTTTTTTCTGAAATAAGTAATTTATCTCCATATTATTCTGAAACTGTCTCTCTGTGGCGTTCCCAGTTTTTTAAAATATACCTTAAAAGGAATATAACAAAATGTATAAAATCAATACTGATATTTCGGCTATTTAAAGATTTATTATTTAATGAACCTCAACTGTAATTTTAGAATATTGGGTCAAGTTCGACTAACCTTGCAATCGATGCATATGTATATCAAACTAAGCTAATTATTACATTTATGTAGGCTAGATTGCCAGGTGTGTCATAAAAGCGTAAAGTTTGTTGAAAAATATAGATAAAAAACAATAATCCCTAAATAATAAAATAAAAGAAAAATAGAAATACGTAAATAATAAATAAATAAATAATAATAAAGGAGACGGCAAATTTATTATCACTGATTTAGATAAATGGACAGGTGGAAATCGTATCTATATTGAGAAAATGTTTAATAGTGAAATGTCCGATTTAGAAATTAAAGAAGTAGTGTCAATACCAGACATAACTATGGACGAAATAGAACGAACAATAAGATTAATAAAGACCAAAATAGCGACGACACCAGATGAAATACCAAATGACATAAAGAAGCTCCTATGCTGTTAAATATTATGTGACATTCGAGACTGATTATTATATAAATAAAATAAGGTTGATGTTGACTCTTCTACATGATTTAGAAGGTTGCACCTTAACACCTACACTTCTTTGAAAACTAAAAGTCTTTAAAATCTTGGTATATCAGATACTTTTACAAACAAGTTAGGTAGATAATCAAGTTGTTTTGGAGTAGATGGTAAAAGTTAAAGAATTGGCCAAAATAGTTAAAATTCACCATCTGCAATATTTTGGTCATGGTATGTGTCTTTCAAATAAGTACAATATACTCCATTTAATAATACAAGGCAAGATAGACAAACGTAGAGGCCAGGTCGAAGAAGAACGACACGGCTTAGAAACATGAGAAACTGGTTTAAAAGATCCTCTGCATTCCTTATTCGAGCTGCCTGTAAAAAAATAAGTATGACTAATTTGATATTTAACACACGATAATCTGGCATGGCACAGAAAGAAGAATAAGAGAGAATAAATAAAATAAAGCGAATGCAGAATGAATACAGGAATGAGATAAGAAGATCTAAGGGAGAGAGGTAAAGTAACCTGCTCCAGGATCTCGAAAATGATATCTGGGGGCAGGGCTTCAAGACTGTCTGTACCAAATTGAAGGAGACAACCATTTCAATTCGGTACAGAAAGACACCGTGCCCGCTTCATGAGCAGGAGAAACTTTGTTTAATATGGGAACTCCTTTCGCAAGTGAAGGATAGGCGTGAAAGGGTTACTGGTTTCGTAGAGGCAGAACCTCTTACTGAGTTGGAACTCTGCGTGGCTGTTGGATGGATGAAGATCCGAAAGGAACCTGGCATAGATGGAATCATGCCGAGACAGTAAGACTCGCCGCTCTAATATACCCGCAGGTTTTGGTGAGATTGCTAAACAAGCTGCTTAAACAACAGTTGTTTCCAACAATGTTGAAAAAAGCCAAAGCTGTCATTATTCCGAAAGGTATGCTTGCCTTCTTAGGTCGGCAGCTAAATTATACAAGCAGCTTGTAAAAGGCCGCCTTGAGTAAAAGCTAAAAGAAAAGCAGGCAAGTAACTTCTTTAGTCACACAGAATACAAAGAGATGGGTGAATCTCATCGTGCTTGACGACAAGAATGCTTTTAATATGGCATCATGTCCAGGCTGAGAGAATTGGGCATTAGTGAGTACCTAGTCAACTTAATTGACATATACTTTACTGGCAGGTCTATAAGGAAAAAGATACCAGCAACAGTTTACGCAGGATGTTCTGCAGGGTTCAGTACTAAGAGTCATCTTGTAGAATTTCCTGTACGACGGGGTGTTCAGGCTACAGGTACCTAGGAGATGCACTCTTGTAGCTTATGGCGATGATCTTGCACTGGTTGTGAAGGCGAGTCAGAAAATGGACGTGGCTAATGCGGCTAACACAGCCCTGCGTCGTATCAGTAGGTGGATCAGAGAGAACGGTCTATAGCTAGCACCTTAAAAAAATGAGGTGTAACTTCTCTGATTAAGCTGGGACAAATCTCTTTGCTTTATAGTGGAAGGTGTGGAGGTTGCCCAAGTTGCACCAGTTAAATCGGTTAAGTATTTTGGAGTTTGGTTGTCGTAAGGACTAAGGTTCGGAGTATACATCCAAAAGACTGTAGAGAAGGCGAACCGAAATCTAGAGCCATTGATACGGCTGATGCTAAACATTGGAGTCCCAGGCAGCACCAAAAGAAGGGTGCTAAATGTAATTTTCTAGTCGGTGTTACACTGCAAAAAACGTACGGTAAGCTTATGGAGACTTCACAAAACCCCTTAAAATGCTCCTCAGGGTATCCAGCACATACAGAATGATTTCAAATAAGGCTCTGTATGTCATTGGAAAGGTGATACCGATACGGTATCACCGCTTAGTTGTGCAAAGAGCGAGCAAGGGTGTATGCGAGGAGGATGGATGGAAATATAGATGAGAATGAGAGAGAAAGAACGATAGTGAAGTGTCAGAGATAATAAGCAAATTATAGCGGAAAGGCAAGGTGGACGAAGAAGCTTATTCCCGATATAAGGCCGTGGTGGGAATGTAAGTTCAGGAAACTAGACTACTTCCTAATCTGACCGGACGTGGCAGTTTTGGCACCTTCACAAATAGAATAGGTAAATCTGCCTCTGCAGACTATACTATTTGTGGGGTACCGGACATTCCCGCCCTCATTTTTTACTGCCAAAGATGGGCAAACAAAAGGGGAGATTTCTAGCGGCGAATAGGTTTCGCATTAAATGAAAGAAATATGACAAAACATAATGTTGCAAGGAAAGAAAGAATGGAGAGACACTGTCTGATTTCTGAGGTGATGAAGAAAAAGGAGCAGGAGGACAGATGAGGAACTTGAATTAGAGATCTGACATTGCATAACGGAAATATTTTCTGATTTACGGTAATAGGTATGGATATTTGTTAGTTTTTAGTTTTTCATTTTAGTTGTTCATTGAGTGGCAAGACCACCTCTTTGGAACGGTGGTTAAGGTTTTAGCCGGAACACAGTTGATACGGCGCTATTCTGGGGCCTTCTGGCCTAATCTCCTACTCGGTCGAAAGATGCCAGGGTGTCTTGCTCCGTGACGTTAGATGTCTAATAAAGATTTCCCCCACCGTTGCCTCTCAGAATTAAATGGACACCTTTTCAGACAAAAGACTTAAAGTTGAAATTAAATGTTGCTAACGCCATCCATCCATCCATCCATCGGTGTTATTAGACGTTACTATTTAGAGTGTGACTACTGTGACTAAGGCATAAGCATCTTATTTATTTAAATAAATTAAAGCTTTTATTCGCGAAAGTATAGTTCTTCGAATCATTTCTGGAAGTTACCATAGAACATAGGAATATCTCAAATGTTGTCAAATGAGAGCAACATTACATCCAATTTTTACATTTTTACATTTTTTACATTTTTAATTCTAAAGAAGTATGGTTTTGATAAGGAGTTTATTAGACAAATAATCTAATAACATACTCAGAAAAGCTAATTTAACTTTACTATAGTGTAAATAAAGAAACCAAAAGAAAGCACAATATGTCAAATATATTTTACTATACAGGAAACAAAGGAAAGTTCTTAGTTACGTAGTTCTTCCTAAAATAAACTAAACTCAATATATTTCAGATGTTTTCTCAAAATAAGCTCAACTATATTTAGGATGAAACTTTTGATTGAAAGATTACATTAAGTTTTCTTTGCTTAAGTTTCTCTTAGATTCTTGTTACAACTGTGATTAGCTTTTAGACAACTTTTAGAGTATTTACAAGGTAAGTCACTAATTTAATTATGTTGTTATTCGTATTACTCCAGAATAATTTCCGTTTTATCCAAAGTGACATAAATAAAATAAAATTCAATATACAAAAAACACACGCTTTCAAAATTTAAATATTAAAGTTGCAGAAAGAGACATATGTGATATCTGTAACCTAAAAGCACACTTTTTGCATCCATTTAGCATACAGTAGCACTAAATATCTTCTATAAATATTCCAATTCATCCACATGAATACCATGGTTAAGATATTAGCGTAGATAACAAAAATTCCTGATCATATCCCGATACCGTAAGTGTTCGACTTCACATTTTTTGATATTATTTAGAGTAACTAGTAGGGTTCTACACTATTTATGATATATCTTCAATGTGTTAATAATTTAATTGGTATTTTTTTTTATTTCTCGAAGATACATCATTTATATTTTAAAATAATATACCTATTCATAAAAAGATTAGAATTGGATATCGGTAGTAAGAGTTATTTATAAAAGTTAGAAGAGGATATTAGTGAGAATGCTCCAGTTCGGGTTTTGAAATGGAATGGATAGTCTAGACCATTTTCCGTAAACATACTGATTTAACGTATTGTGATGTAAACGTTGACATACACTTGTGCTTTTTTGACTCATTGACAATCAAATTATAAAAACAAACATTGTATTTGAACCAGAGTCTTACAACGGTGAAAAATACATAATCTAAATGAGAGTTAAACTGGAATACTTGGTAATATTGATACTTATAATATAGGAAAAGGTTAAAGGAAGATCTGTAGACTAGAGACAGAATTCTTGGTTAAAGAATCTGTGTGATTGGTATCAATGTAGATCGATTGATTTGTTTAGAGCAGCAACTTCAAAACTAAAATTAGCCAATATGATTGCCAACCGCCGCTTCCGTAAGAAGACGGCACTCTATGGAGAGTAAACTCATTTAACATCAGATAGGTACTGTATCCTTAGTTATATCTCGTCATAATGCTACTATCACGATTGCGTTTAATGGTATTTTAAGATCAATCACATATTATTTTTCTGATAAACGTTATTAAGTTAATATTTATGCTTGAAAGATAAATATATGTCATTCATGACGTATACAAAAGACAACTCATCAATTATACAATTATAAACATAACGATTTTATGCGGAATATTTAACCAAGAAATAACTGAAAATCAGTCGCAAGAATAAACCAAGGTTTACCATTCGCTATGAACACAAATTATATACAGCCTAAAACAAATCCTAATTAGAGTCGTCTGTGAAATAAAATTATAACATCAAATATGTAGAGCAAGCCAAAGAATTTAGACACGATTGAAATAACGGCACTTCGTAGTTAAAAAGTTCCTTTTGTCGGATGTAATATTAGACTACTGATTGTGTTACGTGTGCGTTTGACTTGAAAGCATGGCAAAATTTGAGATAAGCACATTTGAAAACGAAAAATATATTGGCTTAAGAACTTGAGGAAATTGTTTGAATGCAGTATTGCCGAACTATTTACAGCAACAGTCAACAGAATCCGCATACCCAGTGAGTGAAAAAATATACTATAATCTAAATGATAGTATATTAACTTAGATATTACATTAAATATGATCTTATAATATATGAAAATGTTTAAAGATTATGTATTGTATATCAGATGAATATATTCTGTTTAAGCCATCTCTATCGAAGGTTGGAAATCATCATGGCTATGCGGACTCTGTTGACTGCCGCTCTAAAAAGTTCTGCACTACTGCATTCAAACCATTCCCTCAAGTTCTTAAGCCAGGATATTCTTCGTCTTCCCACATTTCGCTTTCCTCGGATTTTGCCCTGCATAATAAGTTGTAATAATGCGTATTTTTGCCCTCTGATCACATGTCCCAAGTACTCAAGTTTTCGTCTTTTAATAGTTAATATTATTTCCGCCTCATTTCCTATCCTTCTAGTTACTTCCATGTTTGACATTCTTTGAATATTATTGTACTTCACTGGTTTATTTATAAAATTATAATCTATTATCGTTAAACAAAATTCATTCAGACTTTAAATTGACAATCAAAAATCATAAATATCATTTACTTGAAATGTTGTACGTTTTGTACATAAATGTACAAAATACTAATTTAGAAATACAAAAATAACAATATTTAACAGATGTTGCTTATTGTTATCGTTGTTCATTTATAACAAAAGGTTTAAACAATTTAAGATTCCACAAAAACAGTTACAAAATAATATGATATTTTCAGCTCCGGGTTAAAAAATAACATTATATCCATTTTGGAAACCAAGAACCAAACAGAGGCAAACAGTCAGAAACTTTCTATTCAAGGAAATAAGAACAAAAATGATTTTTTTCGAAAATGGTTTTACGCAACGACCCTTTACCAACTATTTCCTCTAGTTTAAAAAAATTCCAAAAATTTTAAAATTAGGTCACTTTTAGTTATCAATGTACATACAGATTTTTAACTACTTGTCTGTTTTTTATGATATAAACCTCTCTAAAACTAAATGAACACCCGATAGGTGGAATGGTACCTATTACCATATAAACGACCATAATATTGTAAATGTAATGAAAAAATTGATATGTATTTGATACATATAATAGCTACTTTAATATTAAAGCATCAGGTTTATATTAAAACCTGCAGAAAATACGCAAAGTAGAATGAAATAAAACGACTTTTATTATAGTGGAACATATGTATAAAGAATTACAGTTCTTTCAAAATATTCCTGTTTTAGTCTATTTTAGAGTGCATTTGGTTAAACAAATTCCAGTGTGTGAAATTTTTTATTTGTTAACATTGACCGAAAACTATTTTTTTTATTCTTTAATTTTTTACTTTTTTAAATGTGTCGAATTATTTTTTGCTTTTTATATCCGCCACTGTATATATTGTATGATATACAATTTTAAATAAATGTATCATAAATGTACCTATATCTTTTAGGCTTCGAAATTTTGTGCCCAATTTTAACATTTTATGCTATCGGTAATATATTGTATAAAACTCTTTTGGGACAGTTGTCCTTCCTTTCCTTTTACTATCTGGAAGAAAGTATATACCTATTTTTAAATTTGTAATACAGTATTTTCAGCAGCTTCTTTAAAAACCTGCGCCTTAAAAAAAGTAGCGAGAAACAGCGGTAATATATAATTACCAACCGTTTAAACTTCAGTGCTATGCGTCTGTATCCTTACTTTTTTCTGACTACCGTTCCTCGTCATGGTTGGTGACGTTCCAGAGAAACCTGGATTCTGGATACCAAGCCCTTCTTTAGGCTTTGGCTTTTTAAGACTAGACCGCAAAGGCGATCTAGTAATGGACGAACCTATAGTTGATCCGTTCGTAGAGGCAACAGTTGTGGAAGTCGTGTTCATGGAAGCCATGCTGCCATTTGAGGCGTAAGGTCTGCCACTGGCGTCTGTCATGGATATGCCACTATTACCTGAAACATAAATAAAAAAATTGATGTGGTTGACATAGTGTCATTGTATTATGAGATGAGCTAATACGAAGATCTATATACAGAAAACGAACTAAAAGAACTGCTAGTGGAACAATAAAATAGACAGATTCCGAAGAAGGGCGGAGAAGCAAACCCAGTTACTACCAAATAACTACACCTGATACAATAATTAAAAGTTATATTTAACAATGTCGTAAAATTATCAAAAGTACTCAATTAAAAGAGGACAATGATAGCGGCCATACCTCAGTGGCTAGGTACTCGCCTACCAAGTCGGACTAAGTAGTAACACCAAAATCTGATCCAGATGGTTACACGAATGGAAGATGTACAATAAGCCAATTGACTGCAGTATTACTGGTAATAACAACCAATGGCAAAAAAATAGAAGAACAGAGTAAGAAATAAGCATTCATAAGGGAATAAACGCCAACAAATCCAAATAATATAACCAAGTAGCCTACGTATATTTTTTAAACTTCGGAAAAGCCTTTGACATATACGTGAGAAACAAATCTCAATTAAAATTAGAAACATAACCAATTTATTGGAAGGACTCACTAAGTCCACTAATATGTAATTTAGTATCTGACGATAATTTCCTTGTAATTCAGATAACCCTCGTTATGTGGCTAGTTTCAAATACATACTATATAGACTCTTTTTTACTAAGGATGGGCCGACGGTCAGATATATATATATATATATATATAATATATATATATATATATATATATATATATATATATTATATATATATATATATATATATATATATATATATCTGAGCCATAAAAGACAGAATAACCAAAGGGAAACGAGTTATAGGTGCATTGAATTCAGTACTATGGCAGAAAAATATAAGACCGGAAACGAAAAAAAGAATATATAACACAATATTGAAACCAGTAATCGTGTATGGCTCAGAAGTATGGCAGTTATCACAAAAACTTAAAGGTAACCTCTTGGCAGTTGAAATGGATTTTTGGAGGAGAGCAGCGGGAAAGTCTCGATTAGAACATGTGAGAAATGAGGACATAAGAAATCAAATGAATGTACAAAGATCAATTATAGAAGACATCGAAAAACAACAACTGACATGGTACGGACATATTAGACGTATGGGGGAAGAAAGACTACCAAAAAAATATTAGAATGGGTACCACCAGAGAAAAGAAAACGAGGACGACCACCAACAACATGGATGCAAGGAATTTCAAAAGCCATGTCAGCAAGAAATCTATTTGAAGAAGACTGGCAGAATAGACAGGCTTGGCGAACGGGAACCCAAAGGCGGATTACGCTATAAACGGGATATATATATATATATATATATATATATATATATATATAAATATATATATATATATATAAATATATATATATATATATATAAATATATATATATATAATATATATATATATTATAAGGATCACTCAGACGAGTGGTGGGTTCTTATATCGGTCTTAAGGTGGAGAAATAAAAGACAAAGTTGATAGGCTACTTTATCTATTTTGAAGACGTTTCGCTTTCGTATTCTGAAAGCATCATCAGTTCATCTAAAAAGTACAATATGAGAACCACACAATCATGGAGAAGATGTTATAAGTGTTACCTTAAAAAGACATGTAGCAGTCAATGATATTAACAGATTTGTGAGTAAAACTCAAGTAAATGGACATTATACGGTAATATTGTATAAACAATCAATTAACTAACAACATTTAGCAACTTATTAAAAATTAGCACAGCAACAGAACATGTGGTCTAAAGTATATGTAATATTTTATTTTAATATTAAGCATGAAAAAGAACTAACTATTTGATAATTATTTAAGCTTTGATTTTGACTTTAGGTAGCATTATTAAAGTGATTTGAATAAAAATTTTAAAAAATGTAGTGTAAATGAAGTTACCGCTCAAAGCCTCACAGCTGCCGCCGGGAAAATGGCGTTAATTGAAACAGACCGAGCCAAACCGTGAAAAGACAGCCAACCTTGAGGTCAAAAATTTGACAGAACAGCAAGGTAGAAGTACCAACCCAAATAATTGGGCGGTGTATTTAAAAGTTCAAATGAGTTTGGATGACAACCCGCTTGTAAGAGACCAACCAATGAAAGAAATTGGTATTATAACAGCAATTCCTCGCATTAACCAGTCTAGAACGAACAAACAGGCGAAATTCATTCAACCTCATATATAAATAAAAAACGTCAACATTATGGCTGGATATTCAGCCACAGGTGATTAACGAAAATAATTTCCACAGTCCAAGGTTCATAAAATACAAATAATGTAATTGATTCATAGAATCTCCTACAAATTACAGTTCCAAGTGGATGAACCTTGGACTGTGGAAATTATTTTCGTTGATCACCTGAATATTCAGCCATAACGTTGACGTTTTTTATTTATATATGATGTTGAATGAATTTTGCCTGTTTGTTCGTTCTAGACTGGTTGATGCGAGGAATTGCTGTTATTAATACCAATTTCTTTCATTGGTTGGTCTCTTACAAGCGGGTTATCATCCAAAATCATTTAAACCTTTTAAATACACCGCTCGATTATTTGGATTGGTATTTCAACCTTGCTGTTATGTCAATTTTTTACCTCAAGGTTGGCTGTCTTTTCACGGTTTTGGCTCGATCTGTTTCAATTAACGCCATTTTCTCGGCGGCAGTCGTGAAGCTTTGAGTGGTAACTTCATTTTCACTACATTTTTTCAAATTTTTATTCAAATCACTTTAATAATGCTACCTAAAGTCAAAATCAAAGCATAAATAATTTTCATATAGTTGGAAGTGAATCTATGATATTCTTAGTTACTTATTCTCTTATTACCGTATAATGTCCATTTACTTGAGTTTACTCACATATCTGATAATATCATTGACTGCTACATGTCTTTTTAAGGTAACACTTATAACATCTTCTCCATGATTGTGTGGTTCTCATATTGTACTTTTTAGATGAACTGATGATGCTTTCAGAATACGAAAGCGAAACGTCTTCAAAATAGATAAAGTAGCCTATCAACTTTGTCTTTTATTTCTCCACCTTGAGACCGATATAAGAACCCACCACTCGTCTGAGTGATCCTTATATATATATATATATATATTATATATATATATATATATATATATATATATACAAATATATATAATATATATATATATATATATATACAAATATATATAATATATATATATATATATATATATATATATATATATATATATATATATATATATATACCTATATATATAAAGGTATCGGCATAGCTGGCAACAAAGGAACAAAAAGTATATGCGTATTTCTGACTTGGTTGGTTGTCTTCAGTACGGTGCAGCCAAGTTAGAAAAGGAGCATATATACTTGGGAAAGGATCATACTTTTTTTTAAGAGGTTTATTACTGTAAATATGTAGGTAAGATATTAGTAAGAAATATTTGCATAAATTGTTTAGAATAATAAAGTTTGGTAAATTGTTTTCTATGCAGCCGAAACAATAGATTTCGACTTTGGTTATTTCAAATGGTCTAGGATGACCCAGATTTTGTGTCAACAAGAAAGCAATAGGTTTCAGAATAAGAAGAAATGAGACGACAGAAAAATAGAATTGGCCAAAGAACGGGGGCCAAGATATGTATTTTCTTGGAGTGTTGTGATTGGTCCAGGGCGAGAAGGGTAATAATATTTTTTTACAAAAATATAAGATAAAATAAAAAAACTTGTTAATAGTATTCTATAATCATAAATAGTTGAAATAAAACAAATTGAAGAAACAGCTACACTGGCATCACAAGATCCGACAAACAAAAATATTTCTCGTTACAGCTTAACTCATATTACGGGTTTCTGGCTTACTAGAGTAGTACAGAACTAGTTGAAAATATGCAAAAAATATGTTTTATAATTTTAGTCTCATTAACTACTAATGATTAGTAGTTAATAAGATAGTAGTAGAAAAAATTATTTTTGTTGATGTGGAAAGAAATTTTTCAATTTACAAATATATGTACACAGATATAAGCCATAAGCTTTTATTGGAAAAGAATGAAAAACATTTGGTCACTTATTATTTCGATAATTTTAAGGAATAATATTTTACTTTTTACTACTTGCATAACAATTAATTAGTACATTAAACTGACTTATTTAGCTTCTAATTTTTTTTATATTGTTTTCTAATTATGAAAATAAATATTAGTTAATACACCATTACTAAATATATGTTTCCATTGATAGTATGCATATTTAAAAAAAAACACTGCATATTTAATGCATATTTTCTAAAAGAAATGCATATTTTTGGGTAAATTAGTGCATATTAATGGGTATATTTTTCACTTTTTTTGCATATTTGCCAGTCTAGTTATTGGAGACTTGTCTATTTGCATGATCTTAATTTACATTTAAGTACAATTTTTTAATTAATTTAAAATTCATGAAAAAAAAAGTGTAAGCAAATTTACAATGTTGTGTATTATTTTTTATGTCGCGAAGATTGTTGTTGGATTTTTTTAGGGGAAAGTTTGCAGTTTAAAAAGTGCTTTACATTGATAGTTATATTACTAATATAAATTTTATTTTGTACTACCCTTCTGATTTCTATAAATGCCTATTGAATATATATTTTGGGATAAAAATATAAAGTTCAAAGATAATAGTAACTCAAATAACATACCATTTGTTCTCGGTTCTCTAAAACCAGGATTTCCATAGGTCGTTGCCTCGGCAGGTACTGAAACTGTAGTAGGATCTCCTCCCTCTCTTCTGGCAAAAAACATGTCATAGAGAGCCATCACAAATAATGTAGCGTTTAAAAAAATTAACAGCAACTGCAACAATAAATTTATATGTCTACATTCAAAGAGTCTCTTAATTAAACTAAAATCATGTGTCTTTGGAAATTAGAAAAGTACGAGCATAGAAGTAACGAATTATTAACGTTATATTGATTTTGTGGTAAATTTTGGAGAAGTTCGTGAATCAACAAAACTCGTTTAAATTATTCTAAAGTAAAATGTATAAAAATAGACTAACAATTACTGTATAAAACTACTATTTGTATATTCTCTGGCTTGTTAGGAACCAAAACAAAATCTTAATTGTGCCTTAATTGTGTAATCTGAAACGAGTCATATTTTATTTATTTAGTGCAAAGCTATTCTACCTTTTAACATAATTCTGGTAAACAAAACATGCAATAGTCTATGCTAAAAATCAAATCTAATACATGGTCTGTTAGGCTTTTCTGGTATGGTTTTTCTCTAATTCGGGTACTGTCTTACCAATGTTTTTATATTATTGTAAATACGCATCGTTATATAGCCAACTACTTCCCAACTATCCCAATCTAATCATAATTGTCAAAGACCCCAAAATTTCCTAACATCTTACTCCCCACCGCGTGGTAGAGAAACGGCCATAAACCCCCGTAAAATGAGAAACGATGAAAAAGCAAGGCCCTCAGTCTCCGACAGTCCATTGAAACTAGGTTAAGGTAGCAGTCACGGAGGTAGAGGGACAGAGGGTGCTAAGAATCTCCGGAGTGGACCAGGCTACCTTTACAAACGACAACGGCAAAGAATATGGTTTATGGCAACATATAACACCAGAACATTGATGGAGGACGAAAAACTTGAGGAACTTGAAAACGAACTGAAGCATACAAAAAGGGGATATACTTGGATTATCTGAAGTACGGCGAAAAGCGAAGGACAAATAGTACTTTCGTCAGAAATCTATTTCACTATAGGGGAGAATCTAATGGTGGCGTCGGATTTATGATAAATAAAAAACACACGAAGAATATACTTTCAATTAAAAGCATAAGTGATAGAGATGTTATCTTATCTACAAAGTAAACAAAAAAATTTGATTAAAGATCATCCAGGTATACGCACCTACCAGTGTCCACATAGACGAAGAAGTTGAATGGTTCTACCATGACGTTAACACTGCTCTAGAGATGATTCGGAGTTTGTACTTAGATCTCACGGATATGGCCACAGAAACGAAAGGGGTCAAACTCTTATAGAATTTCTTCTGCAACATAGACTATATGTCATAAACACCCATTAAAAAAAAAGCTCCAAAGAAAGTGGACTTGGCAATCACCAAATGACATAAATAAGAACGAACTTGACTTTATCTGTACTAACAAAAAAGACGTTGTTCAAGACGTAACTGCATTAAATCAATTTTCAACCGGAAGTGACCATAGAATAATTAGAGCGAAGGAAGTCTTGAACGTAAAGAAGGAACGGAGAAATATGGTTACAAGGACTAAAAATGTTACGTTCACTGCGATTACTAACAAAAAGGCATACCAGGAAGGAATAGATAGAAACCTTCAGCCTGACGTGCAAGATGAAACCGATTATGAATAACTTAACGAAAGGTTGGTGGACGCTCCAAGAAAGGCACAGTAGAACTGTCAAGTTAAGCAAACAAGGAAAAATGAAAAACTTATAGAAGACACAAGGAATCTAATGCAGAAAAGAAGGGAAATGAAAGATAAGCACGCAGTGAACATCGCAGAGCTAAGGAATTTAAATAAAACCATTTCAAAAGCTGTTAGGAAAGACATAAGAGATTTTAACACTAAAGAAACAACTAATACCATAGAACAAAATAAAAGCTTAAAAGTTCTAAAACGAAAGTTGAAGACTAGAAACCAGGAACATTTATAAGCTAAAAAATGCACAAGGACACGCTGTATATGAACAAAAATAAATTATGAAAATTATCGACAAGTACTATAGAACATTATATCGTCGAGATGCTCACATTCCAGAGGTAGAAATCCCAGCCATACAAAATCAAGGATCATGTTAACTTCCATATAAAACCAAAGAGGAAATCGAATCAGCGTTGGAAGGTATGAAGAACGCTAAATCACCTAGAGAGGGTGGCACTGTAAGTGAGATGCTAAAATTAGAAGGCGAATGCGTCATAAAAGCTTTAAAAACCTTTTATAATGCCTGCCTCTTTGAAGGAGATACACCAGAAAATGGAAAATTGCCATTATAATAATATTGCACAAAAAAGATGTAACAGAAATTGGAAACTACAGACCTATACGCTTGTTATCTCATTTATATAAGCTCTTTATGAGAATAATTACTAACAGACTGGAACCTAAGCTGGATTTTCACTAACCATTAGAGCAGGCCGGATCTAGGAGTGGCTTGGAACGAATGACCACCTTACAACTAATAAAATCCTTAATAGAGAAAGTTACAGAATACAACAAGCCATTGCTATTAACATTTGTAGACTTTGAGAAAGCGTTTGACTCTTTCCAGCATAGCTCCATGTTAAGAGCTCTTACAGAGTGTAGTATTGGCTCATATGTATACAACTCTTCTTCAGAATATATATATATAAGAGCGCAACAGCTGCAGTTAGAATGTATTATGGCAACACAAATACATTTCCCTTCGAGAGGGGTATTAGGCAAGGAGATACCATCTCTCCTAAGCTATTCACCGCTGTGTTGCAGAGTGCTATGAGAAAACAATAATTGGGAGAATATTGGAGTCCACATAAATGGAGAATTTCTGAACAACTTGAGATTGGCAGACGACATAGTCCTTATTGCAGACCGTGTATATCATGCCTGCCAGCTTCTTCAAGACCTTTAGAGCTCGTGTACATGAATTGGACTTAAAATTAATTTCTCCAAAACACAATATGTGACCAACCTTGTACTGGCGAAAATTCCCACGAGATTAAATTAGGAAGAGATAATCAAACAACGGAGCTAAACAGGAGGATAGGACGGGCATGGGCGGCTTACGGAAAACCGAGAGAAGTCTTTAGATCAAAAATTCCCATGTGCTTGAAAAGGAAAATCTTTGTTTAATGTGTACTCCCAGTTCTAACATATGGAGCAGAAACATTGACCCTTCATCATCATCATCCAGCCTCAAGAGTTCACTGCTAAACATAGGCCTTTTCTTCATGTTTCCAACCCCGTCTATCTTGCGCCTATCTTTATCCAGTTTTTATTGAGTCTTCTTAAATCGTCAGTCCATCTTGTAGGTGGTCGACCGACGCTTCTCTTGTCTTCCCTTGGCCTCCATTCCAATAACCTCTTTTTCTATCACCCATCTGTCATTCTGGCTATGTGTCCTGCCCATCTCCATTTTAGTCTGGCTATCTTCTCGATGATGTCAGTCACTCCGGTTCTTCTCCTGATGTCTTCGTTTGTTATTCTGTCTCGGAGAGTTATTCCTAACATGGACCGCTGCATTCTTCTCTGCGTGACTCTTAGTTTAATAGCTGCTGCTTTTGTTAAGGTAAGTGTTTCTGCTCCGTACGTCAAGACTGTTAGGACGCACTGATCAAATACCTTTCTCTTTAGGCATGTGGGCAGCTCACTTTTAAAAGTTTCTCTCAGTTTTCCAAATGCTGCCCACCCAAGGCCGACTCTTCTCTTCAGTTCATGAGTCTGGTTGTCTCTGCCAATTATAATTTCATGTCCCAGGTAATTATATCTATCTACGAGTTCTATTTCTTTCCCACCAATACTGATGTTCTAGTTGGGCACCAAATTGGTCATGATTTTTGTTTTCGAGATATTTATATTTAAACCTACATTTTCTGTAGCCACAACGAGTTCCTGTACCATCTCTCTTGTCCTACTTAGATCTTCAGCTATTATAAGTATATCATCGGCGAAACGTAAGTTGTTTAGATATTCTCCATCTATTTTTATTCCCTTTGTCATCCAATCCAAATTCTTAAAAGCATGTTCTAGCACCGTATTAAAAAGTTTAGGTGACATTGAGTCTCCTTGTCTAACCCCCCGTTCTATTTTTATGCGATTACCGTTAGTATGTAATTTCACAGTGGTTGTTGCCTGCAGGTATATTTTTTATAATAATTTAGTATATCTATAATCTAGCCTGCATTCTTTAAGCTTTAAGCTTAAGTAATATTTTGCTTAGCTCAACTATGTCAAAGGCTTTGTGAAAATCAAAAAATATTAGAACTAGAGGTGTATTGTATTCCACTGCTTTCTCTATTAGGGTTTTTATACTTTGTAGATGGTCATTTGTTCCGTAACTTTTTCGGAATCCTGCCTGTTCCCTTGGTTGATAAGTCTCTAATTTTCTGTCCATTCTCATAACTACATTGATGGATGACTATGGCCGACAACATTGACCCTTACCAGAAAAGTAATCAATAAAATACAAGTGGCACAAAGAGCGATGGATAGGTCAGTGATGAATATATCCCTCAGAGACAGAGTATCAAATACAATAATTAGGAGATAAAACTGGTGTTACTGACGCAGTTCAAAGAATTACATTGATATGGAACTGGGCGGGGCACGTTGCTAGATTAAAAGATGGAAGGTGGACGAAGAAAATGCTGGAATGGAGACCTAGACACGATACTTATCATAATCGAGGACGTCCTTCAACAAGGTGGTCAGATGACATCAACCGCATTCAGCACAACTGGATTCAGGGTGCTCAAGATATAATGCATTGTAATTATTTACGGGATGCCAATGTCCAGCAGTGGACTCAAAACGGCTGATGAATATGACGATGATATTAAGTATGAGTATCTTAAGGGTCGTATTGCCGCCCCCAAGAACAACTAAACGAGAAATATTTTTAAATGAGATTAGCACGATATTCACGCTTAAATAAAAAACACACTGACAGTACCAGAAACCTACCTCGAATGCAACTAAAACAAAACCAATTATTGTATATACGATTATACAATACGATTGGTAGAAGGTGGATTAAGAAATACAAGGTGAGACTTGGTTGGAAGAGTTGCAATACCAATACAAACAAGACATTGTACAAGT